AAAAAAAAAAAAAAAAAAAAACCTGTTGCTGTAGAGTCAATTCCAATTCATAGCGACCCCCTAGGAAAGGGTAGAACTGCCCCATAGGATTTCCTATGAGTGGCTGGTGCATTTGAACTGCCGACCTTTTGGTTAGCAGGCGAGCTCTTAACTACTGCGCCATCAGGGCTCCAATCCAGCACCCTAAATCCTAGTTTATTATTTAGATGACATACCAAATATAAAATCTATATTTATTGTAACAATTCTGTCTTAAGAAAGCTTTGTATTTACCTCATGGATCTCAGAGCAGACTGTGACGTTAAATTGTATAGAAAGTGCAATAAAAATTACTATAAAAGTATAATACTTTTTTCTTCTTTAGTCTCTACATTCACATGTATTTAAGTATATATAAACATACATTCCTACAGTAGTAATAATAGCTAACCTTTATTTTATTTTAAGTGCTTACTAGGCACCAGCCGCTGCGCTCTATTATATAAATGTTTTGTTTAATCTTCCCAGCAACCTAATTATTTAACATTTATAGATTGGAAAACTGAGGCTTAAAAGAGGTTCTGTATCTTGCCTGAGGTCACATTGCTAGTGAATTTAAGAGCTGGGATTGGAACCCAGGGTTGTCAGAATGCAAAGCACTTTTAACCACTACACTTCGTAGCTTTCGTTTACTGTCAGTCTGTATTTAATGTGAACCAAACATACCCGTTGCCATTGAGTCAGTTTCTACTCATAGGGAGACCCTATGGGACAGAGTAGAACTGCCCCATAGGATTTCCAAGGAGCAGCTGGTGGATTGGAACTGCCGACCTTTTGGTTAGTAGCCATAGCTCTTAATCACTGTGCTACCAGGGTACTGAATAGCTATTTGTATATGTATGTTATCTACCAACTAGTTTATAAGCGGGAAGGCAGGAACCAAAAATTTTATCTTTGCACTGACCTCCTTCCATTTTTCCTAGCATAACATAGCATAGGTGCTTTCAACATAAATGAGTTGAATAAGAGAACAAACTGTCCAGTTCCTCATAATTAATTTAGGCTAATACACAACACATACAATTACCGGTAATGTCTTTTAAATTCTAGGATACTTTAATACTAGTAGCTAAGGGTAACAAGAAGAGCGCTGGTGGTGCAGTGGTTAAGCGCTCAGCTGCTAATCTGAAGGTCAGCAATTCAAACCCACCAGCCACTCCGCCAGAGAAAGATGCGACATTCTGCTTCTGTAAATAGATTATAGTCTTGGAAACCATATGAGACAGTTCTACTCTGAGTCGGAATAGAGTCGACGGCAATGGATTTTTTTTTTTTTTTAAGGTTAGCAACCTTTCTTTTTGAATTAAGTATTCCACAGTAGTTGCTCTATACAGTGTGAATACTTTAACCTCAAAGATTCAGTGATCACCAGTGTTTGATACAGTTTTGGTGTTGAGCTATTTATGGGACTAATGTAAAAACAAACAAGTTCCAATTAAGGGAACATGTTGGAACCCTTTGTGCAAAGTTTAATGTTTTCTCATTATAGAGATTTTATAAATTTGGGAAATAGAAATCATAATTACTTTTTTTTTTCTTTTGTATCTATTTAGGTTTTGTAGGTCTGTTTAATCTGCTGCTCTTATGGCCAGGTTTCTTTTTACTTCATTATACTGGATTTGAGGACTTTGAGTTTCCCAATAAAGTAGTATTAATGTGGATTATCATTAATGGCCTTATTGGAACAGTTCTCTCAGAGTTCCTGTGGTTGTGGTATGTACTATTTATTGTCCTGTGATTTATTAGTGATCAGTTTGTGAACTTTTGGACAGTTTAAACATTTAGATTTCTTCTATCTTCTGATAACCCCTCCTGTGCACCTCTCTACCCTACACACTTACAAATTAGTATAAACTCCATTTGTGCGGGATATTTGCTTGTTTTTATTTGCTTGTATGTTTTTGTTTTTTAATTTCTAGATGCCCATTGCATAGAATAATGCCTCACACGTAGGAGGAACTCAGTAAATACTTGTTGAATGAATGACTGTGAATGATAATACTTTGTTAGTATTTTAGATGATGGAGTGTTATGCAAATGAAAAGAGTCGTTATCTACTGAACATCCAAACTTATTAGATATGTATCCCAGGTACAGATGCATGATTCTAAGTGAAAACCTGGGGGACTTTGCTTAAGAGCCTGGACTTTAAGATATCTGTTTGATTGTTCATAGGCTTTTTTGTTTTGTTTATTCTCAAGACCTTTCATATGGGCAAGCTAGCTATATAAACTCTGATTAATTTGAGATGTTAATATAATTTTAAAGTGACTGTGATAATAATCTTAACATAGTTTGAAGGTAGTATTATGTGTGGAGTTTTAGAAACCTTTCACATAGAGTTTCATACTTAATCCTGTTTCCATCTAATAGAAACTAAAAAAAGAAAAACAAATTATACTTAAACTCCTAAATGAGTTTCTATTACATATCAATTAAGACTATTGTTGAGTTCTCCCTTGAAAAAGACTGCAACAAAATATTTTTTTTTTCCATGAAGTATTCCAGATTTTCCCCTTAAAGCCCCGCCATACTACCCTCACCCACAATCAAGGAGATATCTTTATTTTCTGAATTTCCTCCACATATTCTCCTTTTCATGTAATACTTATCTGTTTACTTTGTATTGTAGTTATTTATGTAGATTTCTGAATTCCTTTGCTAAACTGAAACTCTTTGATATCAGGATCCCTTGTCTCGTTCATTTTTCCATCTTTCATTGCTTACATTTGTAGGTGCTCAATTTTTGTAACCGAAAGAAAGTACAATATTACATTTCATATATTAGGTACCCTTTTGTTCTCTTGTGTTGTTGTTTTTCTTGCCTCTCTCCATTCTTGGTTCTGGGCAGTGATAACTACTTCCTAGTAGGAGTTTAAGTGTTTTCATTGAACTTAGTTGAACCCTGAGAAACTGTTGATCTTCAGTCATTTTTGACGGAAATTTCATATTGTTTTGCCCAATACATGGACACTTTAAAATAATTATTTTAATACAAGTTCATTTTCTTTAGTTTTCTGAGTTTAGTTTAAATTAGAAAATTTCAAAGTAGGGAGTTATTATATATTTGAAAGAAGTAATTCAATTTCTCTTTGGACATTAGACTAGAAAAGATTTTAGTGTGGTCTTTATTACATCGAGAATCATTGTGTTCATTGACTATTCTACCTGATTAGCCAATATATACAATGAAAGAATGAGCATGTTAAATATTATATGCTCATTCTTTATTGAAAGCTTTATTTTTAATATACACATACAAGAGAATTTCTCTATTTTCAGTAGATTTTAATGTGGGCTTCTGGAGACTATTGAATATAACTTTGCTACACATCTATCTCTTTCTATTATGTTAGCTTTTTGAGTTTGCACCCTAGAAGACTTATGCTTCTGTTTTGAAATATTTTGTTCTGTTTTTATTTAACTTTTTTTTTTTTTAATTAAAAGGATAATGCATACAAAAGTGTACAAAAGGGTTTACAAGACAAGGAAATTTCCCTTCTACTCCAAATTTTTCATTCCTTTTTCCCAGAAACAACTACTATTAATTTCTAAATCTTCTAAAATTTTTCTGTACCTACAATTTAATTTTTCCTCAAACTTTTTTTACTTTTAACACAAAAAGGAGTATTTTATGGATTGTACTATACTTTTTTCACAAATTGTTTTCTTGGAAATCCTTACATATCAGCACTTGGATTCAAGTCATTTTTCTAAAAGGCTACGTAGTATTCCGATCCATTATATAACAATAGATATAATATGTTTAGCCAATTTCTTACTGAGCAATATTTCAAGTTTCTGATCTTTTGCTTTGTAAATAATATGGCATTGAACCTTCTCTTATATGTGTTTGCATATTATGCAAGTCTTCTTGCATAATGTAGGTATATGATAAATACCTATAAGTAGAAGAGACTGAGTCCAAACATAGTAGACTTTAAATTTTGGTAGATAATTGAAAAACTGTTCTCCAGAGGGGGAACACAATTTATATTTCCAGCTGTGTAGATGTGTGTTTATTGTTGAATAGTTAATTAAATTTGAATACTCAAAGTCATACATTGTGGTCATGGCTTTATTTATCCTTAACTAGGATGGATTTTTCAGGATCTTGCAAAGCTGTATTTTTCGGATATACCTCTGCACTCATCTCTTTAAGAGTACTTATAATAGCTGTTTGTTGTTACTTGCTATCAGACGATTCTGACTCATGGTGACCCCGTCTGTATAGAGTAGAACTGCTTCAGAGTAGAACTCCACCATAGGTTGTGACCTTTGAGAAGCAGATCACCAGGCCTGTCTTCTTAGGCACCTCTGGGTGGATTTGAACTGTCAACCTTTTAGACATGTAGTTGAGCGCTTAACTGTTTTTGCCACCTAGGGACTCCTAATTGCTCATTAGCAGTAGGTTAAACTAATTAAACAAACATTATATGCCTCGAATTCTAGGTGATGTTGATAACTCAAAACAAGTGTAAGAAGCATATCTCTGTATATTTTATACTTTTTACTACAACAATAAGAATTGTCCAGCCTCTGTTGACTACTTTTAGTGACACTTTATCAGGAGATAACCCCTTTTACTGCAGGGCAGCATTATTCTAACATACTGAGCCCGAATCTACTTGCCTTTAACTTCTGTGGGTCTGTGGTCCTAATTATATGCATTATGGTTTTATTGTGGGCTATAAGTTTTTTTTCTTCTTATACTCCAAAATTATTAGGCTTTATAAGTGACTTATCTCTTTCTATTTGGTATAATGTTTTCCCCACAGGTTAAACTAAATGAAATTGAATGCAGATTGATTTTTTTCAAAATTTGATACCAACACTGATTTTAGGTGAAGTTAAGATGAAATTAAAGGTGATATTAAAATGAAGAATTTAGCTTTTAATTAGGACAGTTGCTAGAAAAATGGACAACAACAAGGAAATATCCTTTTAAAATATTATTCTTTCTTTCCTGTGGTAAGCCAAACCAAATGAAAAACACATATATAAAGACTATTTTAGTTTTGGTAAGGGTGAGATATTTTTGCTTTGGTGATAGATTTGCATGTTGGCCTATCAGTTTCTTAAAGTCTGCGTTGTGAGGTGTTGTGATTTTAATAAAGCTGTTTCCATTGTTAATTATTATCACAAAGCTATATGAACACTATTTCCATTGTTAGTTAAGTATTATCACAAAACTATATGAACATTATTCAACAATATTTTATAAAACTTTAATGAAATAGAAGCTATACATCCAAAGTTGAATATGATCTGTCAGCAGATCTTGAAAATAGAGTCCAGTACTTTAAACTTTTTATATTTTTGTTTATATATTTTGTATTTTTAATATTTGAAGATAAGCTTTAAGAATCCTGATAACTTTATTATTTATTATATCTCGGTCCATCATAAGCTTTTATTTTTGTTCTTAATCTTTCAAACACACATTACAGGACAGTCTTTTCTTTGTTTTTTTTTTTTTTTTGGTCGTTTTATTTTTTTAATATGGAAATGTGTATTTTCTGTATTTCTTTTTTTTTTTTTTTAGGGGCTGCTTTCTTACCTCATCATTGATAGGCACACTTGCACTAAGCCTTACGATGCCTCTGTCCATAATAGCTGATATGTGTATGCGAAAGGTAAGGCAAACAATTTATTAGATATTTTAGGTATATTATTAAAACATAGCTAATGAACATTAAGAGATGTGAGTAAATAATGAGGGATAAGACCATGAATAATACTTACGCCTTCTCTCCCAAGGTCCCACTACTTAGAGATATAAAACATACGAAAGAAATTGCTAATCTCTTACATTTTAGCTTTTAAATTTTTTTTCTAAGTTTCTATGTTAGGGACTGTATCTGTATGTAGTTTTTGAGCTGATTATGTTTCAGATGTTATTTGGTAAGTCAGTAGTATGGAATAGGGGATATGTTTTAACATAAGTAGTAGTATTTTGGTTTCTAGGATAAACTCCCAAGGTTTCTTAATGCTATGCTAGTATTACTGTAGCTACAATGTTGTTTTTCAGTGAATCCTCATTTCTGTCTGGACACAGCATGTACTTCTTCCCTCTTCTACGAAATTCTGGTCTGGATACAGGGATTCTTGTGTTAATATTGGTAATGATAAATAACATGGTAGTCAAAAGAATCTGGGGTGTCCCTACCAGCAGTCTAGAAAGAAAAAGCTGCTTCAGTATTCCCAGGGGTAGGGAGAAAAAGAGAGACGTCATTGGCTAATGTTAAAAGTATAGTGTAGCCATTTATTACTCAGTTCAGTATTTGTAAGTGTTTTAACTCCAAGGACGAAATAACAAATGCGTGCGTGCACATTTTGGTTTAATGTAATTTGTAGAGGGAAATATTTGAAAGCCCAAAGGTTTATAATGCGTGGGAAGTATAATCAGATTTTTGAAACTACTTTTCTTTAGTCCTCTGTATTTTTAGGACAAAGGCAAAATACTCTGGAATTTGTACCCTCTTTATTTAAAAAGCGGTGTGTACTGATATTTAACTTTGTTTTATGGTACAGTAAATTCTTATTTATTTGTCATGGTTAAAGAATGAAGATCTTCTTAACTGAGAATTTTATACCATGCATTTTCAAAGAATTTGAAAATTATATACGACACTGAAGTTACACATCATTAGATTCTTTTATAGACTTAAATAATATCCCGACCCTTTCTATATCTTAAGACCATGATCCTGAATATCAACCAGAATTCTTCTGGGGAAGCTAGGGAAGGTGCTGCTTATCAAAGGATTTTGGTAGACTGCTTTATAAATCCATTTTATTGTATTGATTTTTGAAAACATCAGCTTTTACAGATATAAAAAAAAAATTAGAGGTTAATTCCAGGGATTTTTTTTTTTTTAAAGAACTTTCACAGGGAATCTAATTTTATTCAATGATTGTATAATTTATCTAATCAAATATTTTTAGAATGAAAGCAAAACACAAGAAAAGGGAAAATGTGAGTAGGCTGGGCCGTTGGTGGGGATTGAGGGTAGGGAGATACCTTAGGGAAAAAGTAGCAGGGTATGCTCAAGAGCAGTAAGAGAAACGTGATAGAAGTCTTTCACTTTCATGGTTCTGATAGCCAACCATACTTATATATAGTTTCTGAAATTAATTATTGACATTAATTATTATGCATCCCTGATCACATTCAGATTCATATTCACTTATATTTAGGAATTAGATTTTTTTTTTTGTTTACTTAGGCAATTTTCTTTATTAGTAAATAAATATCTTCATTTCTTTTAAATGTCTTGATAGTTTGTTGGAAATCAAGTTATAAGGTTTTTATTATGTGGCAATACATAAATTGCTGCATTGTTAAAAGTGAACTTTGCCTTTGCCTTTGAAAGTCGTCTACCTACATCGAGTGTCATATATTTTAAAGTTTGTTTTTATTTACTTATGAAATAGGATTTTTAGTTGAATATTTGCAAAATCATTCTGTCAACTATGTCTAGATTTTACACTGTCATTATTCATAAGTTTTCCATGCTTTTTCTCATCTTTGGTCATTTAAAGGTATCAGGGTTTTTTGTTTGTTTGTTTGTTTGTTTTTTGTAGATTGTTTAGTATTTCATCTGAAGATTTTTTAGTTTCTCTTAATGACTGCTTTGTTCCTGAGTGTTTTTAGGCTGATCCAGCCTTTGTGTATGTGTATTTTACATTAAAGAAATACATGTAAAAGTTGTCAGAATCATTATTCTTGAGTTACTCATTGTGAGTCCCTCATAAAAGACATTGTCCCACGGAAGCCCTTTACTGTGACTAATGGTGCTATGAAATGAAATAGCATGTACTTTCCACCAGAGGGAGCATTGCTCTTGATTCTAAACCTCTTTGTTTTCAACACTCAGAGTAAGCACAATTTTCCTTACCTATTTTAAAGTAGGAGTTGTTATTTTCATCATTTTTTTTAAAATTTTTTTTTTATTGTACTTCAGGTGAAGGCTTACAGAACAAATAGTTTCTCATGAAACAGAAGTACACATGTTGTTTTATGACAGTGGTTAACAACCCCCACAACATATCAACCCTCTATCTTCTCAACCTCTTTTTCTTTTTTTTTGGTGAAAATACACATAGTCAAAGATACACCATTTCAAAACTTTCTACATGCACGGTTCAGTGACATTGATTATGCTCTTCGAATTGTGCTGTTATTCTCACTTAAGATGAAGGCTTACAGAACAAAATAGTTTCACATTTAACAGTTACTACAATGTTTAACAATCTCAAAACACATCGACAATATCCTTACTCAACCTTGGGTTCCCTATCACCAGTTTCCTTGTCCCCTTCTGCTTTCTGGTCCTTGTCACTGGACTCCTGTACCTCGTTAGTCTTATTTGGTTTTACGGGGCTGTCCACTCCAAGGCTGAACTGTGAACCTCGGAGGTAACTTCACCACTGAGCTAAAAGGGTGTCTGTGGGCCATACTCTTGGGGTTTCTCCCGTCTCCTTTAGGCCAATAAATCTGGTCTTTTTTGTGTGAGTTAGAATGATGCTCTACATCCTTCTCCAGCTCTGTCCAGAACCCTGTGTTGTGATCCTGGTCACAGCAGTCAGTGGTGGTAGCCGGGCACCATCTAGCTGTACTGGACTCAGTCCAGTGGAGGCCTTGGTAGCTGTGGACAGTTAGTCCTTCGGACTGATGTTTTCCTTGTATCCTGTTCTCTTCATTCTCCCTTGCTCCCAAAGGGATGAGACCAGTGTAGTATCTTAGATGGCCGCTCACAGGCTTTTAAGACCCCAGACACTACTCACCAAGGTAGAATGTAGAGCATTGTGTTTATAAGCTGTGTCATGC